CGTTCATTCTGCTACTATGTGCTCCGTTTTGACTAGTATATTTTGTTGTCTAAGCCGGAAGGTCACGGGATGGAATCCCGATGAGGTCATTGGATTTTGTTCAATTTACCTAATCCTTCCAGACGCACTATGGCCCTGGGGTCGACTCAGCCTCTAACAGAAATGAGTACCAGGAATATTCTTGGGGGTAAAGGGCGGCAGGCGCGTAAGGCTGACAACCTTACCGCCATCTATGAGCCGATTGTCTAGAAAATGCGGGAGCCTCAACGTCTCACAACCCAATGGGCCTCCACGGCCTGTTACAGGGATAGCTTTACTTACTTTACTTTTACTTACAGTTAGAGTTCACATTGATCTTCAGTATTGAAACATATTTTCTAAGTAAACATGGAATTATTCGAGTGTTTCCTTGTTTAAGGCTGCCGCCTCTTCTGGAAGCGAACATCACTGTCCTCTGAAGGCATGTCGTGGGGTTGCGTGTTTCCGTGACGCTGCTCTCATATCAGCCAATAATGATTATTGTCTTGCAGAACGCAGATCCAGGTTCATTGACTCAGCCATCGCTTGGGGGCTCGGCGTTTCTGTTCCCGAAACTGAATTCCGCAATTGGAATTGAAACATGAGTCCGCCTGTCTTCCCTGTTTTAAATTTGGCTTGGGGCGCTCAGTTGTTAATATTACCTAATCGAGGGGCCTCACTGTATCTGACAGGTCTCGTTCTAACAATGATTAGTAAAAGCACAGTTAATATGTAATTGGTCATCAAAACATAAAAGCAAGGAAGTCGATAATTTAATTTCATTGCATAGGCCTACATCAATCCTACGAATTTCTAATTGGGTTTTTGGTAACAGTACTTCAGTGTTTAATGTCGTAGCATGCTGAGACGGGGCCGTTTTACTCTAGTAGAGAACTGCGTCAGTCCTTTAACCCTCTATTCCACCCTTATCAAGCCTTTCAACAACAGTTTCGAAGTTCATTACACGTTCATTCGTTGCTCACTTGAACGCGGAAGTGGTAATTTTTTTAATGACTGGCCACAATTACAAACAACACCTAAAAGCCACCTTCTTTGAACAGCAAACGATATTTCTGATGATTCAGCAATTTCCCGAAGTGATGACACCGTAAATTTTATTGCTGTATTCAGAAGACTCTTCTCCGGTAATCTATCCTGAGCCAGATGAATCCAGTTCACACCCTCCACACGTTAATACACTTCTATTTCTCTATTTTGCTCGATCTGTAACCAGCCCTTCAGTTTTCCTAGACATAATTCTGTCTCGATTTATTACCTCTCTCATTTGTTCTACATGCCCTTCCCATCTCATCCTCCTTAAGTTGATGGCCCTACAAAACATGATGCAGAGTAAACATCAGTAAGTATCTCCTTTCTCAAAGTTTTCCACCCTTCTGATGCTTTCCCCCTCGGTTCAAGTGTTTTCCTCAGCGCTCTCAATCCGTGTTGAATTTGGTGTTCCCATGGCGGCGACTGAAGACTACCACCTACCAGAATGTTAGGCATTGTAGCGTTAAAGACGTTTACTGACGTTTCGGAGAAACATTCCGCCTCACTTTTCAGGGTCGAAGAGTAAATCAAATAGTCAACCAGCTGAAAGGAACAAGTAGGCTATCGAAACGTCTGTAAACTTTTACCAGACCACACGACATCATATTCCAGAAAATAATATCCTTCGCTTTCAATTTATTTTTTTATCTTCAATGAGACAGCTCAATTTTCACAGCCGCATAAATGAAAGGTAAGGTTATAGATTTGCATGCTTCAACCTTTACAGTCTTAGGTAAAACCGGGACCCCAAAATCTATTTTCCTTCTGTTTGTTATTAATTGGTTAAGCACAGGACAACTCTACCTTACTCTCTTTCCCCCCCTTGGCACTACAACCCCAGTGGGCCTACGCCTACCTCCATGAATTTCTCCGTTCACTTCGGTTTTTCTAGATCTTAAACATTCGGTAGAACTCCTTGGGCGGGTGATCAGCTCATCGCAAACCTTACTCTTTTACTGAGTACATTTAAGAAATGAAGACTTAAAATATATATAAATAATGCTTATTCTCATTAAACAAGAAGCTGCCAGACGTTGCACGAAACAAATGATGTCACGATCCTCTGAGAGTAGCGACGGTAGCTTTGTATTCCTCCAGTAAGATCAGGCAGTCCGGTCAGAAACTCAAAAGTCTGCTTCAAGTTTCTAAAAGAAGAACGACTTCATACTGAAAGACGCTCTTAACAGGATTTTCCTCGTAATGAAACTTTCACATCATTTGTTTCTCAAGTTAAACGCGACTTTAAACAAACTTTGATGTATTCCCCAAAAAGTAATATGCCGCTCTTATTCTTCTGGTGATGTTTATCTCTCTTTCATAAATATATAAGTAGATTTTGGTATGTTATTTGGATTCTGAAAAATAATTATCTTAGAACTATAAGCTCTTCGTCAAGAATTTGGCATTAGCTGGAAAAGAAAATATTTGTCTCATAAATGTTTGAGAATTACGATTATATATATCAGAACCCTCTCACGTACTATCTGGCTACAGTTTGCCTTTAATTCACATGAGGAGAAGCAAAATAAACTTTATTACTTATGCCGACAAATTTCTCCAAATGGATAGATAGAATTTATATAAACCCAAAGATCCATCAATGTTCGTGTGTAGGCAAACCAGGTCAGATATAATGGCAATATGGATGATTGCTCGCAATTACCAGGTCAAAGTACTGTAATAGCCTATATGTCTGTCCTGTAGGCGGAATTTATTATGTGATAAGGAAGATCGAAAACACCATCTGTGAAACAACCTTCTTCAGAGAAATGGAGTTCAGCTCAATGGCAGTTTGATGAATATAGCCCTCATTGGTGCTCAGAAACGTTTACTACTCGAGTTTTTGTTAAAATAGACTGGGCAGAAATGTTTGAAAATTACACTGCATTATTTTTGGCGTCACGGCAGGGCATGTAGCACGAATGGGGGACAATAGGAATGCATATAGGATATTGATTGGAAAGCCCAAAGGAAAAAGACAACTGGGAAAACGAAGACGTAGATGAGTGAGCAATATTAAAATGAACCTTAGAGAGATATGATGGGATAGTATGGATTGGATTGATCTGGCTCAGGTTAGGGACTACTGGAAGGCTCTTTTGAACACGGAAATAAACACAAAATACTGGGAAATTTTTGTGCAGCTGCACAATTAGCGGCTTCTCAAGAAGGACTCAGCTGCATGAGTGAAGTGCAATGTCTGTCTGAGAACAGAACTACATATGGAATGATATGGGAGCAACCGACTCAAGCTGGAGATGATAGCATTCTACATTGACCTGTATAAAATGTTGCGTAGTTTCAGGCAATATTTACTGTCACTGCTGCGCGAATTGCTTTAAAAATTGCCTTCGCTCTATTTAAACATTTGCTCTGCTTCTTTCTCTATCAGAATATATCTTTACCAGCAATCAGCGCCAATTTCCTTTACACGTGAAATCTGTTTTTCAGTCTTCCCCATGTATGCATTCAACAACCTGAGTATTAGCATTCTCAGTATGAAAAGTACTTTAACAGATCTTCTGAGCTACTGTGGTTTTCATGACATTTCATATTATAATTTTGATACTGACAGCGCCTTTAAGTTATAAACTATATAAAATATTGTGATGTGTTGCGCTATGGACGACACCCCTCCATCCCCGCCAGCCGTGACGTGCCGAGCGGAACCGAAGTGAGCCGAGTCCCAGCACGCTGGTTGCTAGGCAAAGCGAGTAAACAGCGGTGACGTTTATCACATTAATGTCACAGTGGTATGGATGTTACCTTATGATTAAGTGATTAAATGCATAAGGGGAATAGAGTGTTTTCGAACGTGTTCAAATTTACGTTTTGTGTTTCCCTCCTCGAAACTTGTGTTATTCCTCCGAAGCCATTTCTGAATATCTCCGTTTCTTCATGCCACAGTCGAGGATCTGTCAAGGCGAACGAAATGATACGGAGCAATGTCTCGCACAGTGCACTGGATCTGCTGGTGGGTGGTAAAGCGAAAGCTGTTTCTCCACTCAGTTCAAATGAATTTCAAAGTTAATTTCGTTGTGGAAATCGCCACAATTTGTGATTGATTTAAAGTTTAGGAATTCCCCCTGGAACAAACTCCTTTTCCGAAGTAACATGCACAATGACCAGCGCTGCCAACATTCGTTATATAATCCGTCCTACAGTTCTGCCAATACTGACTAGCTATGTACGTCTTGTCGATCCATGTGTCATGTAGATATGTAAAAGGCTCCTGCTTCGCACCCAATTCGTCCGCTTCTGTATTCCTCTCAAATAGTTCGTCCTCTGCACTAAAATGTTATTCATTTCCATTAAGAATAAACACTTATGTTTATATTTTTCAATTTGTAACCAGTATTCTTCGGCATTCCTATCAAAATCTCTTTGCCTTCGGATTGTTAATGTCTGTCTGAAATGTCACTATAATATTTAATAATTATCGCTATGTAGAAGTTATAAATTATTTGAATTTTTACATAAAAACTAAGTTATCCAGTACAATTCTTTTATGAATGAGCTCGCATTTCTTGACGGGGAATTTAGTGCTTGAAGAACGCCGTCTTCTGGGATACGGCGCCATGTAGATCTTGTGTGAACCGACGTTTGCGGCACCACAACCCAGAAGACGGTGTTTTTCATAGTCACCGACGTGAAAACCTCAAATCTGACAATTTAGTGCTTCATCGCGACAACTTGCTACGGTACTGTCAGTTTTTATTTTGCAGACATTGGCTTCGGATTTTCTGTCAGCTGCCTTCGCACATTTTTGGTTTGATTTTCTGATTTTTTTTTATTAATAGAACTGTATCATTTTACTAATTAATACAGAGTCCTTCACTCTGAATAGTTGGGTCCTGTTTTAATTCTTGAATCTGAAGTCATTAACAAGAGTATTTGCAATCAGATACCATGTATACTGCAATCCAAAGGAAATTATTGCACATAATTTATTGTAACGTGGATGTACAGAGCGTTGTTAGCTTACAGAACGGTAAACCCCCGGCGCGCGACCGAATAAGTTTCACAAGCCGTGTATATGTGAACTGGCCTTCCTTAATTGAACGCACAGAAATCTTTATCTGCCCTTTCAGCCATGCACTGTGTGCTCAGACGCTGCACTGTAGGTTAATCTCAGCGTCTCCGTGGCTTCTCCTCGGGTAACGAGCGGAAGCTTCCACAGCTCGGCTGTCCATGTTGTTACTGCAATGCCTGTCCGTCCCAGCGAGCAGAGGCCTCTCCGAAGCATCATCTGAAAATTATCAACCATATTCGGTCATTGTTACATGATATTTATATGGAAAACACTTTTTCGTTCAGTATTATTGGGTTTCTGAATTTCTACATCGTCCGGTATTCTAAAAACTAGATAACACAGCGTTTCAGAAACTGGATCACTTTCCGTCATCACGGGAGAGAGAAGACAGCCATTTTGTTGGGCCCCTTAGAAAGTGCTAACCTCAATCACTGGAGTTGTGGACGATGAGCAAAGTGCGAAGACCCACCAATTCTGAGTGTTATACACCATCGTGAGAACACTTTAGAAAACATTTGTTTCAGTAACTACAGACCCTTCATATACCTGGAAGCCTCGTCAGAAGTTAGTGCTCCATGTTAATGTAATTCAGTAGTGTTGCTCAATAAACATGTTAGTTTATTAAAAGCTTACTCAACTGCTGAATCTGTAACACGAGTGAATAACATCGCGAGGGTACGGCGAACTGTAACACACAAAAATAATCTGATTTGGTTACGCAAATAACACTTAGTTTGAGCCACTGTAGTTTCATTGCGACTGATTAACTGAGTTCAAAGTTAATCGAGGACGCAGATAACGCTGTAATAGAGCAGGCCAACCTCTAATAGCTAAAACTCTGTCGTTACGTCAAATAATCATTGCTTGTGTATTTTCATCTGGTTGTTGAAAACCGGTTCTGGCTTGTATGCAAGGTATTGTTATCGGCGACCTTTTGTTTTCTTTCTGCCCTTATGGGATAAATATGTAGTGCCACTAAACAAATGCGTCTTCAAAAGAGGCAGTCAGTTCTTATTGAATGTACATACATTTCCTGAACGTTGCACACATTAACCTCTTCTGATTTCTATTCGGAAGGTAATGGGTTCGAATGTCGACCGGTACACCAATTATTCTTACTAAGATATGTCGTAATATTCTTCAGTTCCGACAGGAAGTTCGGATATTACCACAACTGTAGCACGGCTGTTTCCTTCCACATAGTCGCCTGATCACTGAGCACTATATACTCTGCACTACTGACAGCGTGATTAAGTAGATCACAGATTAGAGAGTGGTGAAGTAACGGATTTGCTCAAAGCGTTTCTAAGCAACGGCTCGGTAAACTCGTCCTAAGGTGCAGCAATGGAAGATGTGTCTCTGTGGACGAATGTTATAGCTCGTTGTTAGGCAACAGTCAGGGCGCCAATGAACTCGCTAGCTACGAATCACGTGACTTATGTTTTCTGAGTTGTCCATGCGGAGCCTATATAAAGAAAATCTGTTGTAGCTATGCTATTAAGATAGAATGCGGAGTGGAGGTAAAGCTCCACCATTCCTGACCTTAGTACTAGATAGAGTTAAAAGGTCAGCTTTACGCTCCAGCCGCTTTACCAAAGAGAGAATCTCCTGTGGGCACCCATTGGATAGGACGCAGGGTGAGCCCCAGGGCCGGTTAGAGGCTATGGAAAGAGAAAATCTTGCTCTTGCCGAGAATTGAACCCCGGTCGTCCAGTCCATACTATCCCTGCTCTAAGTAAAAGAAATAAATAAATACGTTTACATTTTCACGAAGTTTTATTGTCACTTCTCTTCTCTACTCTTCTCTTCTCTTCATTCTTTCGTCTCTTGTCTCCTCACTTCTTTTCCTTTCTCTTTCGCTTTTCTTCTCCTCTCTTCTTCATTCTCTTGTCTCCCTTCTCCTCTCTTCCTTCCTTAGCTCTTTCATTTACCTTCTCTCCAAAACTCTCTCTTCTCCCTTCTCTTCGTTCCCTCTCTCCGTTCTCGTCTCTCACTTCCTTTGTCTCTCTCATCTTCATCTTTTATCTGTCGTCACTTCTCTGCTCTCTTATTCACTCTTGTCTCCAGTCTTCCCTCTTCTTCTCTGCTGTTCTCTCTCGTCATCCCTTCCTCTGCTGTAGTCCCTCCTCTACAAACTGAAACGAGAGTAAGGTCTGCACGAGTTACAGAAGAATCTGCAGGTAAACTGTATGTGAAATGAGTAATGCATCTACACTTAGGTTTCGCAGGAGGTCTTCTGTTCTTGCTGTGGCTGTCCTCATATTTTGCTACAAAGGCTAAAATGTTTCTTAGAAGAGGACGTGCCTATGACACCAGATGATGAACAGCTGTTAGCGATCAGAGAACAAGAGCTTTATTATTGATGCTGCTCCACCACATTTTAGCCCTACCGCTCGAAAATGCTTGAGCTACCTGTACCCTACCAACTGGTCAGTTCTAGGAGGACTTACTGTGTTGGAACCCCGCACACCTGGGTAGAATCCAATAGATTCTGCGGGGACACCTGAATTTCGGAAAGGAAGGAAGTCTGGGAGCGATCTGATATGCAGATCGCAATGTAACAGTTGAATGAGGTCTTTAAGTTACACCCGGTATTTTAAATTTATTTTGAACTCTTTACGGGAGCTGTCAGCCATTCTGCGTGAGAAGAGAGATAATCTTTGTAGTTTTCCTACTTTCTAAATTGTGTTTCCGTACATACTCCAATTTTTGGTGCGTCTGTATTGAATCCACGTGCAAAATTATCCTGTCAGATGCATGTGTTGCCGTGTAGAAATGTCTGGTGACACAAATGTCAATGTACTTGTCTGGCAGCCTTGTCTTCGTCAGTCAAAAGCGAAACGCATGTGTGCTCCACTAAAACACGCCATGTCAGTCAGTAGATATGTTAATTTTTATTTCGGTTATATATTTGCCTTTTTTTATATAGCCGCTCCCTTGGAGACAGATCAACGTATCTTTGTGCATAACTTTAGAGAAGTGTACAAAGGTAATTTTGTCCCTGTGCTCAACAAATTAAGCACTATACCCTTAAAACTTACGGGGGAGTGGATTATAGATCCACATACACTTGACCCTTGGCAACAGTTGAAGATGCGTGGTCAGCTTCACGTCCCGGCCGTTTTAACCCCAGGGAAGGAGTCCAGGTATCCATTATGTGGGTTCCAGAGGCGGTCTGGACGACATGGAGACTTGAAAATTCTTGACCCTACCGGGACTCGAATCCCGATCCCTTGGTCGTTCAACCCGTAGCCAGTCACTATACTGACAGAGCTATCCTGGCTTTTAAGAAAAGCTGTATAAAGGTAAAGGTAAAACTATGGCTGTCATAGGCAGTGGAGCCCCATAGGTTTGTGAGATGTCGAGGCTTTCACATTTTACAGACAGTTAACTCACAAATGGCGATGAGACTGTCAACCTTACGCGCCGGCCGCCCTTTACCCCCAGGATAGATTCCTACTACTCATTTCTGTTAAAGGCTGAGAGGATTAGGTAAACTGAAAAATAAAAAATAATTTCTAATAATGTAATTAATTGTTCATTAGTTACTTGATTACGTTGCACCAAGGACTGAGCTAACTAGAACACTTCTCTGAGAAGAATCCTGCTGGAGAAGCTACTAGTCACTCAGCTGGTCATGAAATTCCCCACCTTTTACGAAACCCGAAAGTTCATTACCGAGTTCACTAGAGCCTAGGAGTGGACCCCATCTGGAGTCAAATGTATCGAGTACACACACTCACACTAAAAGATCCATTTTAAAAGGCGGCATCTTTTCTACTGCCTTATCTCCCAAGTGGTTTCTTTCCTTCAGGTTTTCCGAACAGAATTTTATTTAAGTTTGCATCTATTGTCCGCTACATATCACATCTACCCCCCCCCCCTTCCTTGTTTTTATCGTCCTAATAATGTGGCGGATTTGCCCCATGCACGAACTATTGAGCCACAGAAAGAGCAATAAATATCTGGTCATGAGCCCCAGATGGGGCTCGACACCAAGACTAACCGACTGGCTGACAGTCAGTCGCAATGTGACTTTGACTTTGAATGGGTCAGTTTTGGAATAATTCGGGAACACAGAGTAAGGGGAAGAGTAAAACCTTTGGAAGTCGCTACTACGCAAAGACTGGTGATGACTCAGAAGACTTATTGCGCGCTCTAGTGAACTGTAAAGTGCATGAATTAGCGAAATTACAATTACTTGTGGTTACAATCTGTAAGTGGTCAGTAAATCCAATCGCCTGTCCAAACCCGGTCTATAGTGACCCATACACGTGACAATATCAGTAAATACAGAAGCAGCAAAATGCATTCACCCAGAGCAGCTACGCACGCTGAGAAAACCTGCAGTTGCCAGTTGCCTCCGAGACGAGGCTTCGCCGCTTCCACGACATCCACAGCTTGGCACTGAAAACCATCGGATGGTTTACGCTCCTCTACATCGGCTCGGGATTCTTGCAGGTTTATTGATTATTAGCTCGTGAAACAATGATGATTCAACTGCAGAGGCTGCATATCATCGCACAAAATATCAAAAGACCACGAATGGTGGACAGATACAGGTCTGGAAGGAGGCACACGTGTGCCATATCTAGGAACTAGGCTGGAGAGCCTGGGGAATATCGCGAGTATCCTCCACCAGAATCGCAGTTGTCCTTGAGATTCCAACTGGATATCTCCCGAATACAGTTTGATGCTTAAGGAAGTGCAGTGACATTTCGTGTGGCAATGTAATTGCTTCAGTACGGCTCATTTTGAGCCAGGATGTCGCAGTCAGTATGGCCGAGAGATTGGAGTTCAAGTCCAAGTAGCGTCAAAATTGTTCTCCTCTCCACGTCGTCCAGTCAGGTTATGGGGCCCACCCAGCCTCGTATCCAATGGTCACCGAAAACTGTTTCTCCGGAGGTAAAGCGGTAGGGGCATGAAGATCGCCAATAGCCTTGTAACCGTACGTCCCTCGTCAAAATTATATAATTAAGAGTATGATTTAGTTATGCATTGTTCAATACCGTGAGAGACGCTCCATCGGCGAGGTACCATCCCCGGACCGTCTGGTTGTAATTCCGCTATTGTCCTCCTTAGGCTAAGGGTGCCGCTATTGTCCCTAACGCCGCCTGTTTACTCCCAGTATATCATAAACCCATGAACTGACCGTGTGCGAGACCGGCCGGGAGGGGTCTTGGATTCCTTGAAGACCGACAGAGGTTTATGGGCAT